GCCTGGGCAAGGGGCCGATCCTGCGATTGGAGGGTGATGGGGGTCAACGCCTGAGGGCTCCCAGTATGTGAGAGGGGGCAGGCTGGGCTGAGGGACACCCCCCCCACACACACACACAGTTTTAAATAATAAAGAATTGAAAATAAAATAAAAAACATTTATCAGTAAAAAAAAAATCCTATATAATAAAAGGCTAATATGCAAATTGTCCCCTTGACCGGGAGTTTGATCAGAGAGTGGGCTGGCCAACCGCGCATGGCCCCTCCCCCCAGCTGGCCTCACCCCGAATCGGGCCCCCGACCCCAATCAGGGGCAGGGCCAGGCAGCCTACCTCCTATAGCCCCTCCCCCAAAGCCAGGCCTACCCCGCCCCAATCGGGGCAGGCCAGCCAGAACCCACCCATGCACAAATATGTGCAGCAGGCCTCTAGTAATAATAATAATCATTGAAAACAAAAACCATATTAACATTTCACTTCAGAATCCACAACGCAAATTACTTCAGGAATTAATGAGCTCATAAAAATCCAGGTAAGAGTCCAAAACATCAACAATTAGCCTTCACTATCTAAGTAAAATATTTTTTAAAAGTAAACAGTCCTTATAAGTGGTGAAAAGCAAAGATATTCAAATATTTTTGTTTTTAATAAGCTAAAGTGACATTAGTAATTGAAATTATGAGTTATGGTTCCTCAAACACATTTAGATAAATAAATACTAGTTCTTCCAGTATTTAGAATGTGTGATCTTGGAAGGCCAATTTCATCTCTGTAACCTTAAATCTGTATCTCTAAACTGGAGATGATGCCAACTATCTCAGAGTTATGAGGTCTAAATAGATGAACAAATAGAAGAATATTTTATAATGAAAAAATCTCTATGCAAATGTAAGCCATAATCTTTCTACTCTGATTAAAAGCAATATTACTTTCTTTCTATTTTAAAATGATCAAAAACTTAATATGTGAAGATTTAATACTAGAACTAAAAAACTGATCGCTAAACATCAAGACTAAATAAAAGCTCTAGATTTCTAATCAGAAAACTGAGACCAAACAGAATCTTTCAACAGTTGAAATATATTTCTTCCTCTTACTAATCACCTATATATTGTACATGTTTCAGAGATACCTACCAGAAACTATATTACTGCTAATTATCTTTCCCCCCAAGGTAGCTAATGATTTGGGTACTACTGTAATGATGCTACCACTCGTAGTTTTCACATAGGTTGCAGCTCCAGGGGTTGCAGCCATCCGACCTATGGATGGGCTCACTGTGGGCCGGGTATAGGTTGCCTGTGTGCCTGTAAAAGGGAAAAGCCAAAAGAAAAACTTGTCAATGCTTACAGAAGAATGACAATTTATACAATTATTACTATAATTCAATGTAATCTACATTGCTTTAATTTGAAAATGGAATTTCAAGGTGTCAAGACTTAAGTAACAATTTACAGCCAGTTTTCAAAGCACCATACAAGAACTATAGCCAAGTCAATTTGAAACAATTTTACACATGAAATATTGTGATGTGTTGCATCAAATTACTAACCCCAGAAAAAGTTAACTAACTCTGTTCCTTCTCCCACTACCTTTCTTCCATTAGTTTTAAGCCCAAAAGAAACTTAATTGTCTTTCTTGCCAGAGCATTTTAGCTATTTCTGTTGTAGATTTTAAGGTGCATCTGTTTTATGCTGTCTCTCTGCCAAACCCAATGTCAGCACTCAGCAAATAAGGCAGTATTGCTTGCCTAAAATATTATAAACTTTACTGTTTTGTACTCTGCTACCCTGTAAATATATTTCCATCTTTTAAAGAATTATGCCATCATTTTACTAGAGATTAAGGATGCTGCTGCCAAGAATATTTCTTTTTAGCCTAAAAAGTTCACTATTTCCATATTTTCTTAACTTTAACTGACCTGTAAAGATATTTTTCTCAAAGGATCTTACACTCTTCCCCACTATTTCTATGATTTTTTCCTTTTCCTAAAGAGGAATTAAATACTAACCAAATGAGCCTGTTATAGTTTCCTACAAATCTGGTAACTCAGAAATCCTATTCCTAAACTAAGAACTATTTGTCTTAGAGAATGAAAATGACTAAAATAACACCTTCTTCAACTGAAAAAAAATGTTGCATGATAATCAGATTCAGAGGTCACTGTGATAACCATTTTCAACAACCCCCTTCCCAAATAAATGATTTTAGCAAGTTATTCACCACTTAAAAATACAATCCCTATCCAAAAGAGGAAGGAACATTAAGTAGATTTAGTTTAAATTTACAAACATACATCTGAATCAGAAAAAAAAATTTAGTGCAAGGTAAATGTTATACACATAGTTTGAATCAGTTAAATTATAACCAGAAAAAAATTCAAATTAAAGTGTTTGTCTTTTAAAAAAAGAAACACTCTAATATAGATACATAAGTATAGACATATTATTTTTTGCTACCTTTCCATAACATAAGGAATCATATATACATAACATTAATATCTTTGTACCAAGTGGTAAAAAGTTTTGGGGGAAGTATTATAGATTTAATACAAGAATAATGGTATCTCTAAAGCACAGGCTTTCCATAGAGACAGAAAGTAGAATGGCAGTTACCAAATCCTGGAAGAAGGTGAGACTAGTTACTATTTAATGCATACAGAGTTTCAGTTTGGGAAGATGAAAAAGTTCTGGGGCTAGAGTGGTGATGGCTGCAAAATAATGTGAATGTACTCAATACTAACAAACTGCACACTTAAAAATGGTGAAAATAGTAAGCTTCATGTTATGTATATTTTACCACAATTTTTGTTTGTAAAGCACTGGGTTTGGAATCAAACAGATCTGGATTCAAATTCCAGTTCTGCCTATTATTGACTATATGAACTTGGGCAAGTTGATACAGATAAGTCTCTTTTTGTCACTAAAAATGGAAATAATAGAGCCTAAGGGAGATTAAGTGCAATGTTTGTACAGACCTTTACATACTGGCCAATAGCTGATAGCTTATAAACTTCAGACAGGTATCATTTTACACTATCTAGATTCTATCATCTAAATACTGTCCATCCTCAAAAAAATTGGTAAGAGTTATGCAAATTTAAAATAATATCAATGAATAATTCTAATATTAATTAATAGTAATAGCTACTGAGCACTCTGCTGGAGACTTTACACACTTGATTTCATTTAATACTTACAATAACCTTAGGGCATAGGTATTATTATCCCATTTAAATAGACAAGGGAAAAGATTGAGGATGGTATTACTAAAATGTTCTACCCACTTGTCCTGTCCAACATGCTCAATGGTTAGTGTCAGCCCATGCACCAAAAGGTCCCAGATTTGATTCTGTTAAGGGCACATACCTGGGTTGCAGGTTCACTCCCTGACCCTGGTCAGGTCGCATGTGGGAGGCAACTGATCTTTATGTCTCTCTCACTTTGATGTTTCTCTCTCTCTCCTCCCCTCCCTTCTACTCTCTCTAAAAAATCAATAGAAAAAATATCTTTTGGTAAGGATTAACAAAAATAAAAAAAAAATAAAAAAAAAATTAAATGAATGAATGAATGAATGAATGAATGAATGTTCTGCTCTACTTCCTTGAGCGTAACCTGGTTGCTCTCCTATCTAGGCATAATGTCATCCTGTGCCTCCCTCAGTCTGAGGAATGCTTACTACACTATAATGTAATACAGACTCTCAACCTCATCAAAGTGAGATTCTTGTGAACTGGGACTGCACTTTCATTTACTCAACAAATACTTACTAATCACTTACAGAACAGAACAGAGCGTGCTCTCTCTCTCTTTCTCTTTATATAAATATGTGTGTGCGTGTGTGTGTGTGTATACATACATACACACACATACACACAAATGTAAATATATATAATAAAATAGACATGGTCCCTTATTTCCCTTATCCTTATGGGAGCTTATGGTCTAATAAGGTGAACAATATTAAATAAATCAACAAACAGTAGCTAAGTAAATGGAAATTGTAATATGTGCTATGAAGGAAAAGAATAGATGACCATACCACAAAAATAGAAGGAACATTTTTTAGTTGGAGGGAAGTGGGAAGTCAAGAAAGGCCTCTTTGAAGAATTGTCTCAATAATATCTGTAACCCCAGTGTCAAACACAGAGAAATTACTCAATGAATATATAATGAATAAATAAACTAATGCTCAAAAAAACTTACCAGTAGGAGTGGTTACCAGTTTAGTTGTCATTATTGCACCATTACTACTAACCACCATAATAGGGGAATTGCTACTGGTAGGCAGAGTTGCTGTCACTGGTTTGGGTAAGATTTTACTTGGTTGGACTTGTTGTGTGATGATTTTAACACCTTTGAAAGAAGAAAGATAAATATCAGTACAAATTCTTTTTCAAAATACATGTGCCTTATACCAACCCAAGAGGGCAGTAGTTATAAACATTTACTCCATCTTGACTAAAGAGAAGCTTTAAAGTTCATGTGGATAAAAATTCTTCACCAACTTTTGTTTCTCAAATTTCCAATTTCTCATTCAAGAATACAATTAAAACATTATAAAAGCTATTGAATTCTTAAAGAAAAACAATTGTTTTTCTTTTGTCTATGATATATAAGAGCTTTCAAACCAAACAGCCATTGGCCTGAACTTTTACAGACAAATAAACAATGCTTCATGCAGATTAGGATAAGAAGTCAAAAACAAATGTTAATGTAGCTTTTATATATTCCCAACTACACCAAATAGTTTTCTAACCTCTTAAACTATAAAGGCTGTTGAAAACTATAAAGGAGCAAGAACATTTTCTTTTCGAACATTTATTTTTAAATTGATTGCTTTTTAAAAGTATTTTTAATAGCACACTTTGTCAAACACGTAATAAAGGATACATTATTATTGTACCTATAAAATATGCATTTGGACAAGAAGTTAAAGGCAATATGCAGAAATAAAATAAAAATATTAGAGTGGTGAGGTTATGAGTCTTTTTTACATTTTTCAAAAATTTTACTTAAATGTTATAATTGTTGTATTGCCTTTCCAAATGTAAAATGTAAATATTTCATGATAACTACAACTTTAAATAAGAATTGTTAACTGAGGAAGAAAAATTTTGGTAACATTTTTTCCTTCATAACTTTACTGAAATAATTCTGGAGTTGAATGTATTACACCAGGACTTTAATTTCATGGAATTGAATATACTGCCATAGACAACTAAAAATTGTATTACTTATTTGGATGGCAATTAGATTGAGACATTAGAAAGCAAACAAATCTACTTATTTAATAGCATTAAATAAATTTAAATTTCTTACAGCCAACAAAGAAGTTAAAATTATGATATCTAAGCATAATTTAGGCAAATTACTTAATCTCTCTGACTCAGTTTGCTCATTTGAAATAAATATACTGCTACTATATACCTTCTAGGGCTATTGTAAAGATTAAATAAATCAAAATTGTAAAGTGCCTAGTACATAACAAGAATTCAATAAATAAAGTATTATTATCAGAGAAATAAAGAAATTCTAATTATAGTAAATCATAAACAGTGAAGTTGGAGGGGAAAAATATTTTTAGTATTATCTCATTGGTGAATTACAATAACAATGCTTAAGGCACATAAAAAGAAGTTTCCAAAGTAATAACCACAGAGGAAAATTTAAAAGGATCATAAGAGACTACTTTGCTCAGTCCTACAGATAAGTTGAAAATTTGGATGAAATAAATAATTTTCTAAAAAAATATTATTTATCAAAATTGACCTCAGAAAAGAGGTGTCTAAATAGGCAAATTTCCTTAAAATAAATATTTAAGAGCTCTTCCTCCATCACCAAAAAATAGCAGGCCCATAGCTGCACAAGATAGTTCTACAGTCGCCGAAACCGGTTTGGCTCAGTGGATAGAGCGTCGGTCTGCGGACTGAAAGGTCCCAGGTTTGATTCCGGTCAAGGGCATGTACCTGGGTTGCAGGCACATCCCCAGTAGGAGATGTGCAGGAGGCAGCTGATCGATGTCTCTCTCTCATCGATGTTTCTGACTCTCTATCTCTCTCCCTTCCTCTCTGTAAAAAATCAATAAAATATATAAAAAAAAAGAAAAAAAAAAAGATAGTTCTACAGTCCTTTAAAAAGAAGGTAATTACAATGTCACAGATATGTATAGTATAGTATAGGGAATACAGTCCATAATATTGTAATAACTATATATGGTGCCAGATGGATACTGGAAATATTGAGGGGAACACTTCATAAAGTATATGATTATCTAACCACTAAGCTGTACACCTGAAACTAATACAAAATAATACTGAATGTAAACTATAATTGAAAAAAATCATTCTGACATGGGATTTTGGCAAGAGATTATTAGATATGACACTAAAAAAATGAGCAACAAAAGAAAATAATATGTATGAACTGGACATCATTAAGATTAAACACTTTTGTGTTTCAAAAGACATAATCAAGAAAGTGAAAAGACAACCCACAGAATGGGATAAAATACTTGCGAATCATACATTTGATAAGAGCTTAATATCCAAAATATGTATATTAAAAAAACTCATACAACTCAATGATAAAAAGACAGCCCAATTAAAAAGTGGGTAAAAGATATAAATAGACATTTCTCCAAGGAAGCTATATAAAGGGCCAAGAAGCACATGGAAAGATGTTCAACATCATTAGTTATCAGAGAATGCAAATCAAATCCAAAATGAAATACCATTTCACACAAACTAGGATAGTTAGAATCAAAAAGTCAGAGAATGACAAGTATTGGGAAGGATGTAAAGAAACTGCTGATGGGAATGCAAAATGATGTAATCACTTTGGAAGACAGTTTAGCCGTTTCTCAAAGAATTAAACATAGAATTACCATGTAACTCAACAATTCCACTCTTAGGAATACCCCGAAACTTACACATGAATACTTTCCACAGAATTATTCATAGCAGCCTTCATTAGAAATAATCCAAATATGTATCAATGGACAAATGGATAAACAAAATGTGAAATAAAATTTACCTATAAAAAAGAATGAAGTGCTAATACCTGGTATAACATGTATGAACCTTGAAAACATTAAGTGAAAAAAGCCAGTCACAAGAAAACCACACATTATTACATTCATATGAAAATCCAGAAGAGTCTGCATGGTCTATAACATGTATAAAACTCTAACACCTGTATCAACTGCATATGCACAAGAGGGGATAATAGGATGGCTTCCTTTGGTGTCTTTGTTGCATTATCGGATATAAATGATGTCCCTATGCCCTAGCCGGTTTGGCTCAAGGGATAGAACGACGGCCTGCGGACTGTGGGGTCCCAGGTTAAATTCCGGTCAAGGACATGTACCTTGGTTGCGGGTACATCCCCAGTAGGGGGTGTGCAAGAGGCAACTGAGTGATATTTCTCACTGAGGGATGTTTCTAACTCTCTATCCCTCTCCCTTCCTCTCTGTAAAAAATCAATAAAATATACTTTAAAAAAAGAAAAAAGAAGAAAATGACGTTCAAATTCTCTTTGGTCTTTGTTAAGCCGGAGAAATAATGGTGTCATTATTTAGCAATGACTTTACCAAGAATAAAGATTTGCCGAATGTGTGCTCACAGACCTCTTCATGGCCACCATTGCTGTGAAATATATACAGTCTAACTCCGTGTATCAGGTTACTGGCATTGAAGCATAGGACAGGAGTCTCGGACACACTGCACATGCCTTGAAGGAGATAAGGCGAATGAATGTTCTCAATGAAGTTTAACACCAGAGTGAAGAGAGGAGAAATCTCTAATGCCATCGATCAATACATTACTGGAACCATTAGCAAGGATAAGACTTAGTAACATGGAAAGCACTGTGAGGAAGTCCCTGAATTATTAACCAAGGCAGAGAAGAACGAATGATTCAACAAACTTGGTGAAGTTTCTATCAGCTCTGAGCCTTCCTGCCTTTCAGGGAGCGGTGTGGCATATCCTACTGCTCCCTCTGGTTCTGTCGCTGACAAGGTTGTGATTGAGGCCTGTGATGAGCTGGTAATAATCCTCACTCACGAGTTGATTCTTTCATCACTATGTCATCACACATTACTTTAAGGTTTGCTTATATGTGGGTGAAAAATAATGTGGGAAATCTTGAAAATACTTAAAACATTAATTCTGCATAATTTTTAAAAAAATACTTTATAAAAGAAATGTGGTATATAGATACCATAAAATATTATTCAGCCATGAGAAAGAAGGAAATCTTGTCATTTACAACATGAATGGCATTATGCTAAGTGAAATAAGTCAGAGAAACATAAACACTGTATTACCTCACTTATATATAGAATCTAAAACAAAACAAAACAAAAACTAACAGAGCTCACAGATATAAGAGAACAAGCAAGAGGTGAGAGGCTGGCTGAAATGGGTGAAAGTGGTAAAAGGAACAAACTTCCAGTTATAACATAAACTAGAAGCCTGGTGCACGACATTCGTTCACTGGAGTCGGGGAGGAGGGGTCCCTCAGAATGGCCTGTGCCTTCTAGTGGTCTGGGACCCCTTTGGGGATATTTGCCGAGGGGTCCTTAGTGCTGCCTCGGAGGTGGGAGAGACTCCCGCCACCACTGCTGCGCTCGCCAGCAGTGAACCCAGCTTCTGGCTGAGCAGCGCTCCACCTGTGGGAGCACACTGACCACCAGGGGGCAGCTCCTACACTGAGTGTCTGCCCCTTGGTGGTCAGTGCACGTCATAGCGACCGCTTGTTCAGCCATTTGGTCAATTTGA